CTACCATGCGATGGCCTCCAACCTACGAGCGATGGCCTCCATCCTACCATGTGATGGCCTCCAACCTACGAGTGATGGCCTCCATCCTACTAGCGATGGCCTCCAACCTACCAGCGATGGCCTCCATCCTACTAGCGATGGCCTCCATCCTACTAGCGATGGCCTCCATCCTACTAGCCATGGCCTCCAACCTGATAGAAATCTAATAGTCTCACAAAACTCCTCTTGATCTCAAAAGCTCCCTCATGTTGTCCAAGCAAACTATGAAAAGTGTTCTGCCAGCAGCCAGGGCTGCATAGGAATGTATGAAGAAATACATCCAAGAGGCCTCCAGAAGTTTCAGAAAGCGCCCACCACCTCTACCAGGTCAAAGCAAAGCAAAGGATTTCAATCGTGTTCCAGCTCAAGTCATGACATCTGCCATTGACTTCCAAACAGCTTTTGGTCGCACTTCAACAGCCGGAAGCCCAACTGCTTTCCAACCAACACGTGGCCTGGATCCTGGAAAGCCGGTCTCAGCTTGCTTCCCATCCGCCCGAGTGCAGCCAACAGTTCTGCAGGCGCCTGAAGCTCATCATACATATGCAGCGTGCAGAAATGAGAACCCCATGGCCTAGGTGGTACAGCTTTTGTGCTTGGGATTGCCTTTATCACAAAACCTAGGACCTTGATGTCGTGTCATTGTCTAGGTCTGATATAAAGAGGCTACCTGATGAAGACATGGAACCTCCAACCTAATAGCTTCTTGTTCCTAGTAGTAATGCCAGGAGCTACGTTCGTAGCTTCTTGTACCTGACTGTGTCTTTCTTCTCTTGGCCGAACGCCCTCTCCTCACCATCCGCCACGGTGGAGAGCAAGTCTGGCAGGTGCCTTGGCCGAAGTGGCGTCTGGGACCCGACTGCATCACGCTATCAGCGGGGCCAGGAAGGACTCAAAACAGGACAGATTTAATGGTCTGGGAAAATAAAAGTTTGAAATGGTTTAAAGGATGACATTGATAAAACAAAGAGCCACTTCAGGAACGCTTTTGCAAAAAAAAATGGGTGAAAAGTGAAAGGCCACTTCTGCCGTGTCTAGCCGTGTGTGATAAGTCTTGAGCCTGACTGCCCCAAAAGCGCTTCAGAGGTTGTTTTTGCAGGACCAAAAAGCGCATCGTGTTTGCAACATGTTGCAACTGTTTTTGATCGTTTTGGTCTCTAAGGGGGAAGGAGGATGGGCAGCTATTAAGGTGTTTGCTACTTCCATCGCTCTTAGGTTGGAGGCCATTGCTTCTAGGTTTTCCTTCTCCATCCTTGCGACTGCCTAGGTACTACTAGGAACAAGGAGCTACTAGGGGCTCCTGGCATCGCTACTAGGAACAAGGAGCTACTAGGGGCTCCTGGCATCGCTACTAGGAGCAAGGACGCTACTAGGGGCTCCTGGCCTTACTACTAGGAACAAGCTACTACCTAGGCACGGCCACAGGAGCTCATCCTCCATTTCCAAGACCTTCATCGCCAGCTGCAGGGATCTTCGACGCAGCTCCGACGAGGTAGACCTGTGGAGAAACCATGGAGAAACCGCTTGTGGCATTCATGCTCCTAGTAGCTTCAAAGACATACTAGCTTCTTGTTACTACTAGTAAGGCCCTTGTTACTACTAGCGATGCACTTGTTCCTAGTAGCTTCCTTGCTCCTAGTAGCGATGCCCTTTGTTACTAGTGGCTTCTTGTTCCTAGTAAGGCCAGGAGCCCCGAACGTAGCGTCCATGCTAGGTCCAAGCTTTGGGGATACCAAGTCATGCAAAGTCAGAACTCTTCTGCAATCACCAGCAGTGCGCCTTTTAGCATCGACAGTTCTGAATCCAAATCTGCTAGCAAGGTGTCTTGTTTGGGGAAAAGGTAGACAAGGTTATCGTGCTTTTCAGGAAGAATGTTCTTCAGCTTCCAAGCTCGCTTGGGTGTGCCTCAGACCAGCTTGCAGTAGCGGAACGAGCGAAACGCAAAACTGATGCTGCAGGCAGATCGACACGTCCTGCCAGGCCAAGGCCAATATCGAATTCTCCACTGACACATAAAGAATTCGATGGCCACCAGGCCACAAAGACCAATGGCCGGTTCCTCTCAAATCTCTTCTATGCGAAAAACTCGAAATCCACCGTCCATTGCAACTGAGTCTGTTGCTGTGCAAACTTCGCGTGGACAAATCTAAAACAGCAGGGTTGACACGGAATGAAGCTGGGAGATGATGTGTACTACCACGGTTCACCGCGGTTCAGCATAAGATAGTTCGTTTGTTTCACTGAAGGAAGCTATTGTTCCAACTCGGCATCCGCCTTGCTGCGAAACTTGGCTAAAGCTTCAAGGGAAGCAGTCAAGAGCATAGTTGAGTCCTGCCGTTGGAGCTGCAGTTGAATGGATTGTGACCAGCAACCGATTCAGTTGAGAAGTCTTGCCTTCAAGAGGTTGATTGGCCATTGCTGCCGGGCCCAATATGACTAGCGAGGCACTTGTTACTACTAGTAAGGCACTTGTTACTACTAGCGAGGCACTTGTTACTACTAGCGAGGCACTTGTTACTACGAGGAACTTC